TTTCTTATTTCAGGTCTCCTACCTCACAAACACAAGCTAATTGTGGCTGGAAACCACGATTTGGGCTTTGATGATAAGGAAGATCTAAAAGGCCGACTGGAGCAGTACCGCGGCCAAGGAACACCCAAGGGCTATCTTCTTCTCCAAAATGTGACGTATCTCCATGACAAAGGCGTAGAGGTAAAGACTTGTAATTTAAAAATATTTTTGAGAGATAGTTTTCTTCCAGATTGACGGCGTGAGCTTCTATGGTTCATCTTGGCATCCTCTCTATGGCTATCCTTTCTACCGTCCGCGACCTCAGTTAGAGGAGAAGTGGAGACTGATGCCATCTGATCTCGATGTTCTTATCACTCATTCTCCACCTCTAGGTGAGTAATTGCGTCAGCTCTCTACATTGTTTCAGAGAGAGAAGGAACATAATTTCAATTTCCTAGAAATTTCAATGAAGCTCATGAAACAATTCGGATTCTTACGCTTTCCCAATAGTACAAAAATTCGAATTTTTCTGATTAGATTTACAAAAGATATGAAATATTGTAAATTCCGTGTTGGTTCTTCGCCTTATTTTAAACAAGGGATGATCAAAGGCCCAACAATTTTCAAGCAGTGGTGCTTCAAACTTACGGCAAGTATTTATGTGTAAATCAGAAGAGCAACGTCAATTCGCTTACAGAAACTATTAAAATTGAATTCCCTCCTTTCATACTGATTCTCTAATTGCAGGATATCTGGACTTGTTTGGTGACGAAAGATGGGGTTGCCGCTATCTTCTGAAGGAAATAGAGACCCGTGTAAAACCCAAGTGAGTCATATTTGTACTAGTTCACCACGCCACAGTTGTATCTTGTATCTTCTTCTTAACCTTTATGCCAGGAAGAGATGTTGAAAAAGAACCGAAGTGTATGTTATATCATATGTTCCAACAAAAAATTTTTCTCTCCGCCACCTTTGCCTTAAGAATCTCTCTTCCAACCAGCTATGTGCATTACGTAACGTAAGACTTACGCTTTCTATTTTAGCAGCTACGCGCTCAAAATGGCCATAATTCGTAGTATTCTAAGATTTTGAGATTGGATATTAATACACTATCCGCAGAAAAATTTCTATCGGCTTCAATTTTCATGTCTGAGTTTTTTTATTGGAAAAAGGCATACAACTCTAAGTTTTATTAGCTCTATAAGTAATACATAGAAAATTTGATGCTTATAAACATGGTTTTAATCCAAAACTTTTATATTTCCTAGACTTTTACTGCCGTGATCCTGTCCCCTCTTCTTTTCCGTTGATCATTTCGACCCGTTACGATATTGCATCTGGGATTTACAGCTTACAACTTTGATAACAAGAACATTTACATTACCACTCTAATCTCAACCCACTCCCGTATACACTATGGTTCGATCACAGTTGACTGTTATGTTTAGATTCCATGTTTTTGGGCACGTGCACGAGCGCTATGGAGCTTTATCCAATGGAGTAACGGTGAGTTAATGCTTCTTTCAAAGTAATAGGAGTGATAAACGGGCGATTCATTTTTGAAAAAATCTTTACCATTGTAGAGCTTATCTATGAAAAGTAGCTTGTATTTGAGTGCGAATGAATGCCCTGTATATTGCAAGATTTTTCTTTCGAAATTCTTTCTGTGCACCCAAATTCGTGCAATCTACAATTTGCAAAACGAAAAATTCATACATCTGCTCATCTCTTAGTACAAGGGCGTGATATGCTTTTAGGTTGAGCAGATGTCTCTTTATTAACTCAATAAAATTTCCGCAATTCTCTCTTAGGGAATACTCATAAGCCTAGTCTCAACCTTAGCTTGCATCAAGGACAAGTGTGGGCCGTCAAGGCTACGCATAATACTCAGGGCTCGGGACAAGGTCTTCGAAGCAGGGAAGTTGTTTCAAGAAGAAAAAACATAGGGAAGTGGTACGGCACCGTAAATCCAAGAAATCATAGCTTCTGCCCTCCCGAATGCTCAATGCACAACCATCTCCAACAAGAAGCCACCACTAAGCAACAGTTCATTATTATATGAGAAACCAAAACAGTTATGGTCAACCTTGAACCGTAACGTGCATCGGGTGGCAAGGAGTTTACTGGGTCGCACGAAGCCAAGAAGAAGAAGAACCGACCAAGAAACTTGGTGGTGGAACGATGAGGTTCAAACGGTGATTAGGAAAAAGAGTCAGGCATACAAGTAATGGCATAGGTCTAAATCGGAAAGCGATCGACAGTTGTACCTAAAAATGAAACACGCTGCAACAACATGTGTCAAGAAAACAATGAAAGTATACGTAGAAGAGCTGTATAAGAAATTCGAATCTCGTGATGGAGAGCGCAATATATACCGAATAGCGCGAGGGAGGGCAGAGTCCGCAAAAGATATGCAACACTTCTACCATGTGAAGGATAAGATTGGAAAAATGTTAAGAAAACCACAGGAAAGAACTGAGAGATGGCGAACGTACTTCGAAGAAACGTCGTCTACTACCACCATGGGCACAGCCATCCTACCAGCTGACCCTGTGAAAGGACAGTACCACTAATAAAAGCAGAGGAAATATGGCTTG